CAAGAAATAATCAAAAGGATGTATTCTGTTTTGAACAACAAGGTACTTCTACAGATACTACAAATTTAATAGAATTGTGAAGCTTGTTTTATTCAGTGACATGTACTCACGGTCCACTTCCGGTTATGTGACAAATCCTCAACACTTAATACAAATGTCTCTAGTCGTGAGGCTCTCCAGTATAAGAGGGAAAATATCGAGGTATGCTGGTAGTCGCGTCTTGACTACAGACTCCGTTCGCAAAGTAGCAATGTGTCACCGTCTCAGCCTATTGAGCCAACTTCTAGCTAACACTTGGAGCATTAATTATCACCAACATTAATCCCCGTCAAATAAAAATTTAAGAATTAAATAGTTATCGTTTTCTCCCTCTGCGGTTCATCACTCAGCCTCAACTCTCAAGAGAAGCATTTTGGTTACTCGGAATCGAGTGTATGGCTGATAACCAAGTCAACTGACCACTCACCCGTGGGTTTATGTAAAGATTTGTAATCTCACATCATCGAGTTAGTGCATGTGTCCAAAACCATTCGCGAGCTTACAGGGCGGTACGTTTGCACACAGTCGTACAATCATCTCACCTATAGGCTCGTACGGTTGCACATCGTCGTAAAGTTGTACGTCGTATACGGTCATCTGCTCATACGGTCACCACACCCATAGATACGTTTGCAAGCTAGTGCGATCGCGCTAGAATCTAAAGGTCCATACAATTGCACGCGCATACGATGGTATGGGTGCTCGCGAGTTCGTGTTGTCTTAAACTTGAATGACTACACGCTTACCCATCACTGGTGTTAGAAACCCTTCAAACTAGTAAATTAGACTTTCAGACTGTGTCAATGACTTTGACCCTTCTCAGCCGAGCTAGTACATACAACTTAATTGAACCGCACAGACGATCAGGAAAGATCACACAATTGGGACTCGGCCTGCCTCTTTTCTTAACCTTGCATCATTATTTTCTCCGCTTTGCTACCAGCAACCACTCATTAAACGGTGTCCCCTGTGAAGCAGAGACTTATGACTAATGGTGAGGTGATCAAGCGCTGAGGGGCAATCCAACAATTCATTATTTTTTTCTCGGAAAGCTAAGGAATGCTAATCGTGAGAGGTCACCATGCAACTTGAAGGGGCTCTCTCAAGTTCACAGTGACGGTATCTGATCACAAAATTTGGTTTTCATGGAATCCATTATTGGCAGGCCACATCTAATCATCCCGTAGCACATCCCCTATAAGTTTTCTCATCTGACCTCAGTTGGTTGTGGAATTGCACACATGGGTAACTGGGGAAACAATGACATTACATGGCATAGACGAGAGAGAGAGAGAGAGAGAGAGAGAGAGAGAGAGAGAGAGAGAGAGAGAGACGACTGCAGCGCGG